GTGAAGAACCCTCTCCTCATCTCCAATCTAAATCTGGTCCCCTCCAGCTTGAAGCCATTGCCCCTCGTCCTGTCACTGCAGGCCTTTCTAAACAGGCTCTCCCCAGCCTTCCTGTAGCCCCCTCAGGTACTGGAAGGCTGCTATTAGGTCTCCCCAGAGCCTCCTCTTCTCCAGGCTGAACAACCCCAGCTCCCTCAGCCTGTCCTCGGAGCAGAGGTGCTCCATCCCCCTGATCATCCTTGTGGCCCTCCTCTGGACCTGCTCCATCAGGTCCATGTCCTTCTTATATTGAGGGCTCCAATGGGGACAACGACCATGGGGACAAACCCAGCCTGAGGAGCTCAGCCATGAGGTTTGACAAAACCCACCACCACGGGCCAGACGCTGCCAGAAGAAAGGGGCAAGGAGTGCTGCTGCCTGCGCCGGGGCTATTTCCCTTTAAATCCCCCTGGTGCAGCAATCCTGGAGCAGGGCTCTGTTTATTTATCCAGCAAACAGGCGTTTGCAGCACAGGAAAAAAAAAAAAAAAACAAAAAAAACCCAAAACACACAACCTAGCAACAAGTTTCTATAATTGGCATAAAAGCCTGGCAAATCTTTAAACCGGGGCGCTCAGCAGGTACCAGCGCCTGGCGGGATTTGTGTCAAACGCCCTTGAATAGGGACAGGAAAAGAAACCCCAAAAACTGAGGGTGGGAAGTGGCCTTCGGGGCAGCACCTGGCTCCTTCACAGCGCTTTTCCCTCCTTTGGGGAGACACACTGAGGGGACGTTATCCCTCACGTTGGGGGAAACTGAGGCAGGTAGCAAGAACCTGTGTGCAGGCAGGTGGTGAGCGGTGATGGGGCAGAGCCCTACGGAACCATTCCAGTCCCTAAAAGGGCTCCAGGAAAGCTGGGGAGGGACTTTTTATCAAGGAGTGGAGCCATAGGATAAAGGTGAACAGTTTTAAATGAAAGGAGAGAAGATTTACATGAGATCTGGGGAAGAACTTCTTTGCTGTGAGGGTGGGGAGAGCCTGGCCCAGGGTGCCCAGAGAAGCTGTGGCTGCCCCACCCCTGGAGGGGTTCAAGGGCAGGTTGGACGGGGCTTGGAGCAACGTGGTTCAGTTGAAAATGTCCCTGTCCAGGGAAGGGGGTTGGACTAAATGGCCTTTGAGGTCCCTTTCCACTTACTTCTTATATTGAGGGCTCCAATGGGGACAACGACCATGGGGACAAACCCAGCCTGAGGAGCTCAGCCATGAGGTTTGACAAAACCCACCACCACGGGCCAGACGCTGCCAGAAGAAAGGGGCAAGGAGCGCTGCTGCCTGCACCGGGGCTATTTCCCTTTAAATCCCCCCAGTGCAGCAATCCTGGAGCAGGGCTCTGTTTATTTATCCAGCAAACAGGCGTTTGCAGCACAGAAAAAAAACAAAAAAAACCCAAAACACACAACCTAGCAACAAGTTTCTATAATTGGCATAAAAGCCTGGCAAATCTTTAAACCGGGGCGCTCAGCAGGTACCAGCGCCTGGCGGGATTTGTGTCAAACGCCCTTGAATAGGGACAGGAAAAGAAACCCCAAAAACTGAGGGTGGGAAGTGGCCTTCGGGGCAGCACCTGGCTCCTTCACAGCGCTTTTCCCTCCTTTGGGGAGACACACTGAGGGGACGTTATCCCTCACGTTGGGGGAAACTGAGGCAGGTAGCAAGAACCTGTGTGCAGGCAGGTGGTGAGCGGTGATGGGGCAGAGCCCTACGGAACCATTCCAGTCCCTAAAAGGGCTCCAGGAAAGCTGGGGAGGGACTTTTTATCAAGGAGTGGAGCCATAGGATAAAGGTGAACAGTTTTAAATGAAAGGAGAGAAGATTTACATGAGATCTGGGGAAGAACTTCTTTGCTGTGAGGGTGGGGAGAGCCTGGCCCAGGTTGCCCAGAGAAGCTGTGGCTGCCCCACCCCTGGAGGGGTTCAAGGGCAGGTTGGACGGGGCTTGGAGCAACGTGGTTCAGTTGAAAATGTCCCTGTCCAGGGAAGGGGGTTGGACTAAATGGCCTTTGAGGTCCCTTTCCACTTAAATCACTCCATGATTCTGTGAATCCAGCAGCATTTTGGCATGTGTTGCTGCAGCCAGCAGCAATCCCAGCCCTGCTGGGGTGTCCTGGAGGCCAGCCCTCCACCACAGGCTGAGCTTTCGACCATTTTAACCCCAGCTCGGGCAACAGGACCACCTTGGGCAGCACCGGAGCAAGTAGCCCCAAAGCAGAGAGCCCCATCCACCCCACTCCTGCCCCCCTGCTCTGCCCCAAACCAGCCCCTCGTCCCCTCTCACCTGCCAGGTTGAGGATATCCCAGGTGGCTCCTCGGGGGAAGAACCTCTTCATGTTTATGGCCCACTGATAGTCGCTCCATCGCTCCTTCCAGGCCTGCAGGATGGCCTGCTTCAGGTTCACCACCTTCATGGCCGCCCTCTGGCAAGGGAAAGGGGACAGGGAAAAAGCTGACAGGACTTTGGGGGAAGGAAAGGGAAGAACAAGGGGATTTGGGGGAAGGAAAGGAAGGAAAGGCAGGATTTTGGGGAAGGAAAGGAAGGAAAGGCAGGATTTTGGGGAAGGAAAGGAAGGAAAGGCAGGATTTTGGGGAAGGAAAGGAAGGAAAGGCAGGATTTTGGGGAAGGAAGGGAAGGAAAGGCAGGATTTTGGGGAAGGAAGGGAAGGAAAGGCAGGATTTTGGGGAAGGAAGGGAAGGAAAGGCAGGATTTTGGGGAAGGAAGGGAAGGAAAGGCAGGATTTTGGGGAAGGAGAAGGAGAGAAAGGAATGGCAAGATTTTGGGGAAGGAAAGAAAGGAATGGCAAGATTTTGGGGAAGGAAAGAAAGGAATGGCAAGATTTTGGGGAAGGAAAGAAAGGAATGGCAAGATTTTGGGGAAGGAAAGAAAGGAATGGCAAGATTTTGGGGAAGGGAAGGAAGGAAGGGAAGAAAGGCCAGGATTTTGGGGAAGGAAGGCCGGGATTTGGGGGGAAGAAAGGAAGGAATGGCAAGACTTTGGGGAAAGAAGGGGAGGAAGGAGAGGATTTCCAGGAAGGATTCCTGACCCACACACCCCCCAGAGTTTGGGCCCAGCGGCTCCTGAGGGGAAAGGGAGGCCGCGACTGGAGCCTGGCCCTCCCCCGG